TTAGCTCCAACCCTAATCAAACACACCTGAAGCAGCTAATCAAGGTCTTATTAGGCATAGAAACTTCCAGGCAGGTGTGTTGAGGCAAGCTGGAGCTAAACTTTGCAGGACACCGGCCCTCCAGGACCGAGTTTGGGCACCCCTGGTCTAACGCATACATAGAAAAACATGTTGTCTATGAACATAATTAACTTTTCAAATGTATGTATGTGTGTGTGTGTGTGTGTGTGTGTGTGTGAAGCAGTAATATATTTGAAATCAATCGGTAAGTTCTTTGATATTATGGCTGTGTTTTAACCCGGAAGGTTTTGTATCTCGATTTTGAGGCTGGCTTCACTTAGGCATTGAATGCAGTGTTGCCAGGTCCGCGGTTTCCCCCCGGAACGTGATAGTGCTAGTTTTGGCCGTGGTTAGCCCTTTTTTGAGTAGCAATTGGACTGGTTTTGTTACACAGACCTGGCAATCTTGATTGAATGAACGTACGGGTATTTTAGGTGAAACAGGTATCGCTCATCCAGAAATGAAAGCAACTTACTTCCTCACGAACTTTCTTATCACTTCTTTGAGCATTATGGTTGGTTTGTCATTATCTAAACTTGCCAGGCCAGCGATACCGGCGATAGCGCATCACTTTGGGACAAAAGGCAGGTACGAGGAAGCGAACCCACATCTATTAGATGACATTTTGTTTGTAAACAAATCACTGGTAGCTCCCCCCTCTCCAGACTGCCGTGCCATTCATATGGTGTCGGTTATCCGTCACGGGACGCGCTACCCAACCACCAAAAATGTGAAGAAGATCGCGCGATTGTTTGAGCTGGTCGTGTCTCACGCGTCGGGTTCAGCCTCGTGGCTAAATGACATCAAGACATGGAAGATGTGGTACACTGAAGACATGGACGGCAGACTGGTGGAGAAAGGGCGCGATGACCACAGGCATTTGGCTATGAGACTGGCACAGTCTTTTCCCACTTTGATTTCTGAGGATCATCTCCGTGCCAACCGCATTGAGTTCATCACCAGCTCCAAGCATCGCTGTGTTGATAGTGTCAAAGCTTTTCAAGAGGGTCTTCACGGACTCTGGGATGTTCAGGGTAGGCTTAGTGTCCCTTACTTTATAGATGTTTTGTTGGTCTCTTAAACATTTTAACTTAAGAGATAGTTCACCCAGAAAATAAAAATAATTTCTCACCCTCATGCTGCTCTCTCTGATGTCCTTCTATAAGGATGAAAAACCTTTAACTGCAGATAATTTTTCATTGCAGCACAACCGCACATTCCGCTCCAGTCAGATTGTACCTTATGCTGCAAACTTAGTCTTTGTCCTGTACGAATGCAGGGATGGACTCAGAATACAGTTGTTTCTCAATGAGAAGTTAATGACCTTTCCCAACATGAACCATTCGGCTCCACTGTATGAAACAGTCAGAAAGCATTACTCAAAGCTCCTTAATGGCTGTGAGTTTAATAAGGAATGTAATGTGCCTCAGTCAAACCTCAGGAACACTGAACTTTGAGTTAGGTTTATTAAATAGTGGATTACAAGGATGAATTACTGTGCACTTGCAATGACTGCATCTTTGTTGTATTTTTGATTGTACTTTTTTTTTTCTTCATGTTGTGGTTGAAGGTTTAATATGTTGCTTTATTTATTTTAATGGTTACTACATTGCCAGAGGGGGGTGAAATTTGTGCTTTAAGAATGATTTATGTTTGTTCTTGTTTTATTTGCCAAAGAGAATTATGGTTATACAGTGCCAAATAATTTGTAATTTTGTAATGAAAGCAATTTAACAGAAAACAAAGTTTTTATATTTTATTTTAATAATAACTGTGCATTTTCTAGTGGGTAGTTCACTTGGTGGGGTTTTATAAAAGGCAAAGACCACATGGGATCAGATCCAATCTTGAAAATGGGTTGTTCATAAGAAATCTGAAATCATAGTTTTAATCTGGATCAAACCTATATATATATTATAATATAAACCTATATATATATATTTGTCCACATTATCACTCAAACAGCTGTTGATATCAAACTAAAATAATATTTTTACTTTTAAATGTCATTAGTCACTTTATATTAATTACGATGACACAATCATAAGAGATGAACCAAACATTTTATTGCATGTATTTTTGTTTACTTTTATTTATTTGTTGTGGATCAGATGAGAGGCTTGACTGTTTAAAATAAATTGAATTTGGATGCGGATGTTTGTATTCACTAAGTGTGCAATTTTCTGTCTCTTCAAAACACAAAGTGACCCAACATTGACTATTCTAACTGTGATTCATCTTTTACAGCTAGTAGCCTTCATTGTGATATGGAGTTCCATTTAGAGTACTGGTAATCCGCATTTGATAATCTGGAAATATTTGAATATCTGAGTGATGTAATGTTAAAGATGGATGGTATAATGGATTACCTGATCCTCAATGGCAAAACATGGGATTTCCAAACCTGGATCGTTTAAAGGGGTCATATGATGTTGCTAAAAAGAACATTATTTTGAGTATTTGGTGTAATGCAATGTGTTTATGCAGTTTAAGGTTAAAAAAACCTTTCCACATACTGTACATTATTGTTTCTCCTCTATGCCCCACCTTTCTGAAACGTGTCGATTTTTACAAAGCTCATCGGTCTGAAAAGAGAGGTGTGCTCTGATTGGCCGAATACCTCAAGCGTGTGATGGAAATGTTACAGTCCCTACCATATTGTGATTCCTTGTCTCGGCACGACGAGACAAAAACATTAAAGCCCATTATAAACGAGGCATTCGTTGCATCCAGTGGGGACATAATTACGGATTATAATAATTTATACTGTCTTTTTACGCATTGCATTGCATCGCGCTGCGTAAACATAAAACCATGTCTGCATTTGTGATCGGAGAAATTACAAACTACAAACGCTACTCTACACTGCCCAAAACTCGCCTTTGAATCGTCAGTGGCAAATTCTTTAAATATAAAAATGTACTTACAGTCTGTGAGTCAGAACAGCCGGCATTGTAGTCAACTCTACCAGGATCAGGAAAGAGTCCATAAAATGTGCTGCACACATCTGAATATTTGGGTTAAACTGTTCTGGAACAGTGTTGTAAATACAACTTAACCACTGATTTCTAGTCGTGTTCTCTTTTGGAAGGCCAAACAAAGTAGTTTCGCTTTCACAACGAAACAGCATCACACACGGCGGGCTGGAGTGAGCGGAGGCGGGCTTGTGGCAACCACATGTGGCGACCCCGGGCTGGACTCCGCTTTGTCCACAGTGAAAGCCGATCCGGTGATCCACAGCGCGAAGTTGATGTATTTCCTCAGCGACCAGCACGGATCAGCTCTAGGTATGACGAAGCGGATATCGTCCTCTTTTGGAAGACCAAACAAAGTAGTTTCGCTTTCACAACATGGCAGCAGCAACAATACTACAACGAGAATAAAAGTTACGCCTTCTTTCTTTGCGTGAACATTTGGGCGGCAAATCTTCCCACATCGTGATGTAAACATGTGGGGGCGTGTTAGAACGAGGCGTTTTAGGTAGGCGTGGTTGACTCTTAACTTTTATAAAGAATATCTTTTTGGATTTGAGACTTTAGTCTTTGCAACTTTACAGATCTTCTTTATGCACCAAGAGCTTGTAACACTCCAAAGAGAAAGGAAAAATTGAAATCGCATCATATGACCCCTTTAATCCAATTTAAACATTTTTAAACTGGGCCCTGGGATTCAAAACATGGAACTGAAAAAAATATATATACAAATAAATCAAAAATAAAGGTTTAACAAGATTAGCAGGTTTTCTACAAACTTGTAGAGTTGTTGTTCTGCTCCAGTGCTGCTGTCATTAAAGCAAAAGAGAGACAAATCAAGTACTGAGACATTCTGAAGTTGATGTTGATATTGCAATTTTCGCTTAAATTGTTATGCTGCTGATGTCATTTGTAAACACAAATATGCAAAATATGGATTTTTTTCTTTCGTTCTGGAGAATCACGAGGCTCTATGAAGTATTTCCAGGGGGCTGGTAATGTTATTAAAGGTAATGTTTTTAGTCTTTTTAATGGCTGGGATGCTGGGATTCTGGGTGGGGGGTCTTCGGTTTGCAAAAACGGGTTGTCAACTCCTGTGTTATGGAATAAAAAAAGAACAAAAGAGATTGCAGCTATGATAATTCAACATTTTTTTCTTCATGTATGTATCTTAGTACTACTACTTCCGTTTTGTGTCACGCTGTGTTGTAAGAGATATGCAGTATGTTGAGAGCAGTAAGTGAGAATCCGAGTCGTGATTGTGACGTGAGCAGCGCACGCTGAGCTGATGGTGGGAGGATTTCAGGAAGAGCGCTGAGTGCTACGTGTCCAGTATATCCGGACTTCCACTAACTTTACTTGACTTTTACTCAGTGTTAGTCTCTCAAGGGTCACGTCTTTAGAAAGCCTCGGCGCGTGCTCGCTTTGTTGCATCATGTCTGGGATGAAAAAGCAAAGAACGGTACGTTTGCAGATGCCCGGCTTTTTTTTCTTCTTGCTTTTGTTTATTTCTCGCTGAACTTTTAAAAGTTGCATCGATGGGAACTACGAAATGTCAACAGACTTTAAAACACAGCAGAGGTCTTTTGTATTAGTACTAATGGTTTTAACTGTTTTTAGAGCATTAATTTTTTTAATAATTATAATAAAAAAAAAAAACACGTTTATTTTAAAAGGCGTTACATTCAAACAAAGTAAGAGTTGCTCGAGTTAATCATCCGTGTAATTTACGGAACTACTGGAAAAATGTGGAGTGGCAGCCCCTTAAAATAACACAAATGTTTGTTTTCGGCTGAACGGATATTTAAAATGTAAATCTGTGGTGATGTGGCAGGATGTTATCATTCAAGTTGATCCTTTTCATCACCTTGTCTAGATTTGGCATGTGACCTAACTTTATTTGATGTGCTTAGAGGTTTTGTTCAGTATAAATTTAACTCACCCATCTTCTTATAATAGAATAACTGTCTTTTTTTTTTTTTTTTACATGGCAGAATCATAGCATGCATGCTACCATGCTTCATAAAGAGCGTTCTTGTGATCTGCAGTATAACCATATAAAAACGATGCAAATCCCATGTAAGATTAATGTTATTAGTAACTCAGTTCCTTATGAAGCCATATTTTGCATATCCTCAGTCAAAGAGACACTGTGTACCAGTGGGAATTATCAAAGCCCAGGGTTACTTGCATCAAGCTGGGATTTCTTGTGTACCCAAAAATCCTTGGTGCAGAGAGAGAGAGAGAGAGAGATGGCTCTGATCCAGCTGGCCACCTCTCCATGGGCCTGCATGAATGGCCTTGATTGTTTCTTCAGTTCTCTTGCCGAAGCCGCTCCCTCCTCAGTCCTGATGACCGAGTCCGATACACGAGAATATAATCCACAAGAGCACAATTGTGTGAATTAAACTGTTCAGAAGAAAAAGATGTGTATTATTTGTATTCTTTTGTAAGATGTAATTCTACTCTTCAGTCAGATGTGGCTCTTGGATGGTAAAATTACTTTTTCATGAAGTTAAAATTAAAGGGACAGTTGACCCAAAACTGTACGTTCTGTCATCTGCTTGCAGGCATGTTGTTCATGTTGCATGACTTTCTTACTTCTGTGGAACAAAAATATTTTGAAACCAAACCAGTTTTGACTTTCATTGTATGGACAAAAATGATCATCTTTTAGATTTGTAATGACCTGAGGGTGAGTAAATGATGACAAAATTAGCATTATTGGGTGAAGTATCCCTTCAAACACTTTTGTAAATCGTAAACTTTTGTAAATGGTCCCTATAGAAATACACTGTCAATATCAGTAAGGATGGAAGAAGTGATGCTTTAGGCTCTGACTGCACAACTTGCAAATTGTTCTCATGCTTACTTTTCATATAATGTAGATCTATTTTTTTGTTTTGTACATAGGATCTGCAGAGAGCAACCAATGTTGTGTACCAGGCTCACCATGTGAGCAGAAGCAAGCGTGGCCAGGTGGTTGGGACCAGAGGTGGATTTCGTGGATGTACTGTCTGGCTGACAGGTGGGAATTTCTCCTGTAAAATGTCCGTGAGAAAATTACATTGAACAAATTATTAAGGATAGTTCACTCCTAAATGAAAAT